AAAAAAATCTGAATGAACAGCCAGCCAGTCTTTACAAGAGCTCATGCTCTCCCAAATGCTATCTGTAATACCTGTGTAAAATCAGGTAGCTGCTGGGGTTATCATTTGTATGGTGTTCATGTCACATACCAATTGTTTTGCAAGGTTTGCCAGTACCTCAGATACTCCTGGGGCAGTGTTTTCTAGCACAGCAGTAGGAGCTCAGGTCATTCCTACAGATCAGTATGTGTGTAAAATGGCCTATAAAATGGGGATATTGTTGCCACTTTCTATCATAAAATCATTTTTGTACATGAATAGAATTGTGTCAGGCACAGGGGCCTTGGATATTACAAGACAGAGCTGTATATAATCATATTGACTAGGTGGAAATGTGTACATCTGAAAGATAAAAGTGATTTTGGTAATATCTGCTTAACTGATGGAGGCTGAGAAAGGTTTACAGGCATTGAACCTCCTCACTCTGCTTTTCACCTCTTAATAGATGCTCACATGCCTGCAATATAAGTGTAAAATAACCAGATTGGGATGATCACTCTGCACAGGAACATTCTGTAAGAAGTTGCAGTCAGGGCCTGATGTGGCCAGGCTAGAGGCTGACAGGTCTTATGACACGGAATTTAAGTATCACTGTGCATATTTCAAAGAAAGGGGGTTCATGATGCCTCAGTTTCATTAGTCATTACCTTCTAGAGCCTCCTTATATCTCTCTTTGAGTAAGATTGTGTTAGTCAAAAGTAGATTTAATAATTAAATACTGGTATTTCCTTTCTGTTTTCAGACACCCATGCCCCAGAAGATAAGTCCATCAAAACTGAGGACTCTCCTTCAAATGAATCTTCTTTGTCTTTGGATGCTGGAACTTCTTTTTCTCAGAGCCAGAACAGCCATCAAAATCTTACAGCCACTTTGCAACAATCTGTCTTTCATCAGGCATCTGAACTCCTGAACCACATAGGCAAGCATTTAGATGGCATTGAATTTCATACATCTTCTCCTGAATCTCAGAGGGCAAAACAGCCTGAGAGCTTAGACCCCACCCCGAGGCAAAGGGTGATCAACCTGACACCAAACACATCTGCTGCTGTTCAGATTGCAAACCCCATTGCTTTATTCCCCACCATTCAGTCTAGCACTCCTGAAACAAGCAGTACTACTCTTACTCCACTGCCTACAAGTGCCATCCAACTGGGATCTCGTACAGCCTCTCTGCATCCTGGTGTTGCTAAACCAACTACAATTGCTACCACCACAGCAACCTCTCCACTGACTGCAGCCACTGGAGCTAAACCTGCTGCCTCTGTCACTAGCATTGCTGTTACTCGTGTTCCTCTTTCCAGTCCCACAACTTCTACAATCAAGCAGGTGACCACGAATTCCAGATCTGCTACTGCTCCATCAGGGCTGAGGACTCCAACCATGTCTCCTGAGCCAACAGCTGTCTCTTCCAATGGTACCAGCCATGTAACCCTCCTCACTTTTTCAGCTTTCATTCTGTCTACTAGTGATTCCCCCGTGTCTTCCCAAAATGACCTTCAGGGTTATGACCCACCTGACTCAGACAGCTACCTGCCAGAGGGTGTTCTGAGAAGGAAAAGTGTTGTTGAGCTGGGGGAGAAAAGCAGCCTTATAGCAGCTTTGCTTTTTGGGGTGGTATTCTTGTTGCTAGTTATTGCATTGACAGGGAAGAAAATGCATGAATCTCTTCAGAAGAGGCATTATACCAGGCTGGATTACTTGATCAATGGAATGTATGCTGATGTCTGATAGGGCGAAGGAATAAAGTTTTGAGGAGCATCTCTCTTCTTTGAGAGGAAAACTGTGAAATGGGACAGTAAATACTGAAGTCTCAGAAGAGGATGTATTACTTTTCTTTGGCCTCTAATGGGAAAGCAGGAAGCAGATGTGTCTGGAGGGGATAGAAATGCTCTTTCTGTGCTGAACTATAATGTCTATCATTTTTGGTTTATTACTAAATCCTGAAAGTAAACACTCAAATCCAAGTTAAGCTAAGAAGGTCTTATATTTAAGGAGAAAAAGCATTTCATGAGCTTAATCTGTACTGTGACAGAGTAAGTGAATGGAAGTACATCTAATAAATTGAGTACCTGTGCAGCACATGGGTGTTTTCAGTGCTATCTGCATCAAATACCATAGTGTTAAACAATTGTCTGGCAATCCTACTTGCTCTATTTGTAGCCTGAAAGGAGTACTTAGGAATACAAAGCTCTAGCTTTGTATCCAAATGGGTTTAGGTAAAAACCTAAAAAAAGAATTAGTAAAAAAATTGTTAAACCTTGTAGTACATATAACTTAGCTTAATTTTTCCTTAGCTGCATATAGTTTATGGATATATACATATCTTTCAAGGGTTTTTTCTGCATACATCACAAGCTATCCTTAAAAGCACATACTGAAAATCTGAATTTGCCTTTTCCAAAGAGTTTGCCACCAATTTGTAGATGTTGTTTTTGTCATAGGTGTCAGAGAGAAGGTTTTTATCGCAAAGCAAAGCAAGCTACAAATCAAGCTCTTTTACATGATCAAGTGACTTGGCATATGCAAGACTGAGAATCTGTCCTAATACACCTAAATCCCTGACTGTTGAGGCTCAGGAGCAGGCAGAGGAGCTGTATTACTGGCAGAAGACACACAGAAAGGTGTGGTCTCCCTTTGCTGCACACCTGATGAGAGGTAGGAAAGCTTTAAAGAAAAATGGGGACTGTTGCCAGAGGGGGCACACCTCAGAGAAGTTTCCTGCAGTCAGCAGGAGCAGACAAACGAGCTTGCATTACCTTCATGCTTCTGGTGTTCTCCTACCTCTCTCACCAGGCTGGGGGCTCTCCAAAGAGCTGTATTTGTTAATGCTGGACTTGCTGTCTCTGCTGAACACAGAGCTCTTGCTGGCTCTCAAAGCACACCCTCTCCACTTCTAGAGTCCTCTTCATGTGACTGCTAGTAAGCATAGCTGCTTATTAATGGTTGGTTGTGATCATTCTCAAGTTATTTTTCCAAATTAACAAGTCTATGATTCTATGTTTCCCTGACCCTGTAACAAGAAATGAGTATGTGTGAGCATCCATTGCTTGTGACACAACTTCCAGTTCATGTTACTTAAATTTCCCTTCCCATACACTCAGGGTAAACCTGTTTTTAGAATGAAGGAGTGCAGATTTCAAAGTATCCACATGTCAGGCAGCATAATCAGCAACAAACATTATGACAGAGAAGGAAGGTGCCTCATGAATGCAAGGAAACAATTCTATTACAAACTATGAAACATGACTCACATCCAAGAGATTCTTAGATCTGTCACAGGGTGGTGGGAAGCAGGTGTGATCCACAAATGGCCTCAAGGCAAGTTTTCTGAAAGCTCCAAATAACTTAATGCAGAAAATTCTCTGAAAATTCCATTATTCAGAGATCAAAGAAAAGTCAGTGTTCCTTATGTCAAGAAGTTGAATACTTACTGCAAATTGCTTTACAGATACAAAACCAGCAGATCTGCTACATTGCTTAAGTCTAACAACGGTTAAATGATAAACATTCTGGATAACCTCTTAAAAGTGCAGGAAAGAACAAAAGAAAAGTACCTGGAGTTTGTATCAGCTTGTTTGCTGACTGCTCTTTGTTTGGCCTCTGTTTCCTTTTTCTTTAACAGCTATTTTCAAATGTTTCTGGCCAAGGAACATGACAAGGAGGAACAGGATTTCTGGGAAATGAGTTAACATAAGTACTAGGCCCAGTTGTGGGCTGTAAAAATGCAGACACAGATCTGAGGTTGACTGTGATTTTCCCTCAGAAGAGCTACAACTTTCTGAGAAGCTTTCTATGTTGCTGATGCCATCACAGCAGCTTGTTGCAGGAGAGGTGCTGAGAACAACCCCCGAATCCTCATTGCATGTCTGCTGCAATAGAGAATTTGTTGGAGGGAAAGATGGTTGGTATTAATTGATATGATTACAGTACAGTAGTGAAACATTCAAGAGAAGACAAGCAGGTAGACTCTGGGTTGTTCAGAGCACTGGGCATGTATTTAACCAGAGAGAGGCATTTTAGAAGGACATGTAGTGATAGGCCGAGGGGGAATGGCTTTAAACTAAGAGAGGAGAGGTTTAGGTTAGCTATTAATAAGAAGTTCTTTACTGTGAGAGTGGTGAGGCACAGGAACAAGTTCCCCAGAGAAGCTGTGGATGCTCTGTTCCTGGAAGTTGTTGTGATTTAGGAATGGTATTCCCCAGTTTAGTGTTCCCACTGAAACTCTCCACACCAGGTGCTGCCTGCTCACTCCTCCACCCCTGGGATGGAGAGGTGAATTGGAGGCAGGAAAGATAAAGATCATGGGTTGAGATAACAATTTACTAGAAACGGCAGTGAAATAGGAAAACAAACGATAACCACAACTCCACCAATAACAGAGTGTACAAGGCAGGGAATGACTCACATGATCACTCACACGTGGACATTGTGTCCCACTGAACCAGAGGGTACTTAGTCCCTCCTCATGGCCTGAGGTGCTGTAGAGTAACCCCGGGGTCCTGCCATGCCCTTCCTGGCTGCTGCAAAAGTTAACCCTGTCCTGGCTGGAACCAGGACAGAAGTGCTCAAAGTCACTTGGATGGGGCATGGAGCAATCTGGTCTAGTGGAAGGTGCCCCTGCCCATGGCAGGAGGGTAGAATGAGATGATCTTCAAGGTCCCTTCTAACCCAAACCACTCCACGATGGCTGATACCATTAGAAACGTTGCCCTCCAACCCAAACAGCAATGCATGTCAAGCCCAGTGAATGGCAGGAGGTGCATGAGTACCCTGCCTAATTTGGTGAGGATGCTCACCTGAGTGGCCTTTCGCAATAAAAGTAAACCAAACAACTTAAAGTGAGGTATTAGGCAGGTGTGCTGAAACACTTCTCTTTTTTGTTTTCCCTCCATTTGTCTCGTTGGACGAAGAAGAAACGAGGCAGTTTGGATCTCCCCGGAGGGTCCTCGACAAGCTGTGTTCGAACACTAGAGGGCAACAACAGTTTATTAAATCGGATTGACAAGTTTCGCGAATGGCAATTTAAAAAGTTTTAATCCGCTCTGTTTTAGCTTTCCAAACATTGGCTATTTCATTGCAAAAATGTTTTATAGGAAAGCTTTTTATCTATTGGCAGGTTCTGGGTGGAGGATTGCATATGCATACTTTTAAAACTTCTTAGTATATCCTAGTGTGGAAGACAAAAGAGATGCTCTTCTCTATTTTAATATGAATGAATTAAATCAGATTGCATTATTAGTCATGTATTGGCATCGTCATTTAACAGAGAAGGAGAGGGAGATTTCCCGTGATCCTTTGTTTGACTATGATGCTTAATTACATGCAATTTTGGAGCTTATTTATTTGTCTGGATAATGCTCTTGTGTTAGGAATCAGAAAGGAGTGAGACAGAGTAATGGTAAAAATTCCATCCAGTTTGTTATGCTTTTCAACACTAAAACTTCTGTGCACTCTTCTATTTTCCACTGACATCTGTGACCTTAGCTGTGCACCACACATGGAACTGGATCATTAATCATCATGGGAAGATGACAACCCACACACTTGGGGTGGCTCTTTCTGAAGGTAACCAGTTATGTTATGGCATGAGGCCAAAAGCTCATTGACTTTTATCACCTAGGGAGTGTAATAAATGCTGTAGCTGCTTGTTTTCATGTTGTTGCTTTATAGAGCTGAACAAACATAAGATGTGTAAATATAGACTGTCATGAACAAAACTAAATGTATAATCACCACAAACAATCATAAAGAAAGAAATTGCAGGTCTCTTTGAGATGGATGAGAAGAGTGCAGAGTCCCTACCTCAAAGGTCTGCAAACCTTAGCATGTTCTCTTCAACTAGTGCTTCTGTGTGTTGTTACCACAGTCTGAATTTGCTTTTTACCTCTAGGTCTCTACCCTTCTTGAGGATATCAAAGTGCAAAGCATAAAAGTGCTGCTCTTTGTGCTCTCTGTGCTTGGTACACATAATGAATATGTACATTTTAAAGTTTCGGTGCAACTATGCAGGGTCATCATTTCCTATATATTGGCTCACTTAATGAAAAAAACCCAAACAACAAAACAAAAGCTTGAGAGTCAAGCATTAACTTCTGTTCTGTTACTCCTCCCTTCCAGCCTATAAAATGTCATTGTCTAAAGTGGTGAGAATGTCATGTTCAGGGTGTTCTGATCCTTCTTTTAGGTTTGCTTTGTTTTTAATGGAAAGAGAAAATTGAAAATTCCATCATACCAATAACACCCAGGAATAGTCATCAGGTAATTTGTGCACTCTGTATTTTCTCAAAGAAATTCAACAAGCAGTTAACATCCAGAACAACTGGCTAAGCCATAGGCATGTTTTGAAACATTTGCTGATTTGAGCAGTCACTCTGAAGACTACAAAGGTGTTTTGTCAGAATGCTGGGATGGTAAGGATGGCTGTATAATGTATAACTACTTATGAGATGCTTTGGTACCAGCTACATCAGAGTAGCAGCTGAGTTCTGGCTGGACATTCAGAAGTCATTGGGAACAGCACCAGGTGTTCTCTGTGCCTCTGCTTACAGTGAGGAAAGGATGTGATCAGTAGAGCTTAGACAGACACCGTGAGTTTTGCAACAATTCTCAAAAACACCTAGACTGAAAATTTGCACAAAGTCCAAACATATGTTCTTGTGTTGGGGAGATGGTAGAAAACCCCTCTCTCTGACACAGATTTGCATAGCCTTGCCCTGCTGCTTAGTTAG